ATCATCAACAGTATATCACTGTGTCACATGACATACGCATTTTGATAGATCTGTTTGACATATTTCGGTAATTACTGCTTTGTTGTTCCGTGCTCTCTGTTTTCGTTTTAATTTCTCTAGTTGTAGATATTTATCATTAAATCGATCTGGCACACGAAATGACCTTAATTACATCGTTTATAAATCAACAGACAGTCCAGTTAAGAAATATTACATGTTCCCGGCTGATACATTGGATCGCTGTAATACCTAAACAATTACTGAACTAGTAAACTTAAAACTCATATCACATGTTTGTTCTGTACATATAATGATATTATTTATATGAAATTGATCATGCCTGTAAACTGGCGTGAATTCTGTAATTATCATTTTTTCAGAATATAAATTATTATTATTATTATATCAATAATAACAGGTACGCTCCCAGTTTTTCCCTTAGCAGTGGTTCTCATTTCGAATGCTTTCTCTGTTGAAGTGATTACAGACTCCTTAGTGTATAGTTTCGAAAGAAGACCTGATAAAAACATATTAACACATGGACTACCACCTACTACCTTGTCTAGCTGTGCTTGATCCATGTCTCATAACCTATCTATCATTATAATTATCGCATACGACCGACTTATTCCTATCTTGCACAATAATATGTTGTTACTCTTATACGTCTGTCTATAATATTAATTAATTATTTAAATAATAAGATACTCGTCTTCTAGAGTCCGGATTTTCTTAATACTTCTCACATTTCAACCACTCAACCTCCTGCCTGGAAATTCGTTTCCAGAGACACTGATGTCCTGAGATGAGCTCACTCAAATCACAAGGTGTACAAATCCTCAAATAACTACCAAACTAACAAAGAATTTCGCGGTTGAGTGGCTAGACCACAACCAACTGGACATAACTAAGCACTTCAAACCTGAAGAGATGGCGGATACAAATAAGACAACTTGCTAATACAAGCTCATCACAAAGAAGTAGGTTACGTCGTTCAAATCTTGCACATCAGTTTGGATTACCAACGTAGATGATCTGTATCGAATGATCGGGGGCCTACTCCAGTTGAATGGGAACGGCGTCAACAACCGGCTGACCGCTAAGACTCCTCGCGGCTAGTATTTGACGCAGACTACCCTTCCGTTTTTTCAGGCACTATGGCTACTTTTACATTGTTCAAGATGGAATGGAGGCTTTCACCTAACGGGCTTCTCTATTTAGTGGCAGTGGACCACCGATGCCTCCAGGCCTCAGAATGTGTGTCAACAGTCCGTTCTGCTGTGTTGGATTTTCACTTTCTAGGTGTTATCCCTAAGGTTTGTGTTAAGAATATGCTCAAGTAAGTGTTTAAGGAGATACTCAGAGGTGTTAAGGATGCTATGAGCCAATAAAACGTCACCTCTAAAATACCTGCACTTTAATGGGTAAAGGTTCATCATAAGACTTAAGTTTGAGTCCATGAACTGGTTTTGTGACTCGCCGTCGCATACGTTCAAGAGTATGCTTATCCTTTCGGAATTTAGGAGAAAAACACTATGTTTCCGTACTCTAAATAGGGACGAACAACACTATTGAAGATTATCTGGAAGGTTCTTCTGTCGAACTAGCCGAAAATGCGCTTCAACATTACCAGTTCAAGGTTTGCTTGAGAAGCATTTTCACCACAGTTAACGTAAGACTTAAAATCGCAAGGTACCAACATTCCTAAATCTTTCTCACATGAGAAAGTCGAGTACGATAATCTAAATATTTCTTCATCCAAATACTCAAAAGAACGAAGAATAGTACTATAGCTTTTTTCAGCATCAACAGCCTGACAGTTATTAGTAGCTTTAAAATCGCTGCTTATTATGACTCCTAAATCTCTATAGTTTCTTACTTTGGGTAGCACGAATCCACATATTGTGTAGCGATACGAATCATTATAGTTATTTAGTTGCATCACTACACTCTTGGTTGGATTTACTTCTAATGACCACCTGTCAATCCATGTCACCAGTGAGCTAAGATCATCCCGCGATACTATTTTATCTGTTATACTATGTATGGGTCTCCAAATATCTATATCGTCGGCGAAGAGGAGAACCGATGAATTTGCAACAGTTGGTTATTCATTTACATAAAGTAAAAAGAGGGGAGAACCAAGGATCGTACCTTAGGGAACTACACTTTTTGCGGGTTCCCACTCCCAATCTTCTATTGTAACGAGCACATTTGTCAAACATGATAGGCCTTTCCGAAAACCATGTTGTTCTCTGGATAAAAGATTATGCCCTTACACATAATTTATAATAGCCATCTGAATAATCTTTTCCATTAGTTTTACAACTTCACTGGTAAGACTATCGGACCGATAGATACTAACTAAATCTCACTCCTCATCTTAAATACCGGACTAATTAACACGTCTTTCCAGTCTTTTGGCAATGTGAACTGACTCAGAGACATATCAAACAGTAAGGCTATAGGTTTAGCAATTACATCCAATAGGACTTTCATAATCCTAGGATGAATATCATCAAAACCACTGGATTATTAGGTTTGAGCTGTCAAAGTAGTCTTAAGACAGTACTATTCTCAATGACTACAGGGTCCATCAACAAGACGCCACGATCACAAAGAATCGTTGGTCGTTCCTCATTATCGATAAAAAACACTTTATTGAAATATTTCGATTAAGCTTCAGCTTTTTCGGTACAACCTCTTGCCAAGCTTAACGGATTTTCTTGTATCAGAAGTGACGGAATCCTATCACTTATGTGAGTTTGTAGAATTATGGTCTACTATGATATTAGTACTGCTCTAATAATAGACCTAATCCTAAAATTGTAGATTTATCATGGTATAACTGCCTAATCTATAAGATCTTACGTGGAAGTTACATCATTGTTTACACCAACTCATTGCACTGTAACAATTACCAATACACGATGGAGAAAAAACTTAGGCTAGAGATAGGACAATGTATTTAATATGAATAAAAGATATAAGACAACATTCAGCAGGGACCACGCCTTCATGGCCGAGTCATGCCATGCGATCAACTCCAATTGATTCAGTTCACTATTCCCGCCTTCTCCATTCTTCTGTATTTCTCCGCGTTAAATGTTGAATATCTATTTCCCATATTGTCTCGTGGTAGGGCCCAATGCCACTAGAAGTTCACCTTTTTATATACGTGAATAACCGTTTTAGACTGTTTTTGCAGTCCACAACCAATGTTTTTCATTTGACCGCTTGGTATTACTTATTAACGCTTTACAAGCGTTCCTAGTCTTACGATAACTAAATCTGAACTGTTCTAAGCCAGGAGAGATGAACAAATTCCAATGCTTTTTCGTACATCTTAGAGGTTTTTTGACTTGTTTAGTTGTCCATGGTGGACTGTTATTCGTCTGCGTAGTACCAGATATGGCATAAAATGACGCCACCTCCTTTCCTACATTTATGTCTATCACTTCTTAGGTAGTGGTGTCCGGACAATTCTGGAGTTATGTCGAAGTCAATGACTAACCAAGTTTGCGTCACAGCTACGATGATTAGCCTTTATTTTTTCACTAATGCTCCCAGTTCATAGAACTTATTTGTTAGACTACTAGCATTGGTATATAAAACTCTGAGCGAGAACGGCCTATTCACATAGACCTTGGTAGTATTCGCTTCCAAGATCTGTTTATTCGAAAACCCACTAATTGGAGATTTTCCTCACCGTTTTGTCGATGAGTTTCTAGTTAAGCTAGTGCCACCTTCCTTTTTATTCTATCTTCAGGAGACATATCAGGTCTTACTATAATGTTGGTATTGTCGTGACTATAAGCGCTACTTAGCGGAAGATCACGTTGCTTCTTCGACCCTAGGATTACCTTCAGGAGTTTACATGGCCGAGGTTGGACAGTGTCATCGGTCCTCTTGCCTATTTATATGATGTTTTTGACCTGAACTCCCTTAAAAGTATCTAGTAAGACGTTACGAATAAGTTCTCCCAGCTTTTCCAAATCATGCGCGTGTCTAATTTTAGGATCAGGATCGTTTGACTTGAGCGAATTTCTCACAATGACATTCGACGAGAATAAGGTCTCAGCCATGCCAGGATGGAGTTCTGTCTTACTATCAGACTTTGGTAGTGTATTTTATGACTCAATGGTAGTCTACCAATCATTTGCCAACCAAGTGTGCACCGCACATAGCTTTTTTATACTTCATTTTCTCCGTGCCGCCATCCATTTTTCTTTACTAGGAACAGATACACTCGGACTATCTGAAACGGTGATGGTTTTATACGGGTCTTCAATTTCTACTGAAGATGCACAACTATCCATGTCAATATCAAGTGGCTTTTCACTCCTCGTTAGTTTTAACGGAGATTTTGCTTTTCCGTCAATCACAGTCGAAAGTTTAACGCATGATGTAACAGCACGTACTACTCTGACACATTCTTCTTACAGCCTAAAGCTAATAGACTCATAGCCTACTGGATTCGTAACATCTTATTCGTACAGCAAAACATACAAAGCCAATGCGAATTGAGCTTCGAGCATCTTTTGTATGCGATGGGACTTGAACGGGTGCACATCTTATGAAACCACCTTTTACACTCGTCACATTGCATTTATTTCTCCATGAGGAATAAACAGTTTGGCTGTACAGATTTATAAGTACTGCCAAACATTGTAATCAGATTAAGAAGCACAAAATGATAACAGTATGAACACAAGTGCCAGATCAACCGAAATGAAGGCACCACGGAACAAAGTTTGGCAAAATTTCAAACCCTAACCGAAATACTTCGAGTTAAAATGGACCAATGATGCTTTTGGATGCAACAAGTGCACAAGAGCAAAGATGATCGCAACAAGTACTAAATCACTGCCCTTTTTGAAACGCACCTTGAGAGAACAAATTACTTTGATAAGACTGAAGCGCACTTTTGGAAAGTCTTCATCCTGCTTATCACACAGTTTCTTCTAATACGTCCACGCGCGTTTGAATCATTTGGAGCTGGATTTGACGTAAGGTCAATCCGTAGGTCATGTACCGGGATTACGGCCTGGCGCAAACTCCGTTTATCGATAAGTTAGAGGTACGTATGAATGCAATCTCGTGTTAAAATTAAGACTCTTAATCAAGCAACAATTCCAGAAATACCTGTGTACAAACCTACGGTTGCAGAATTTGAAGACTTCAGCAAATGTATTTCCATGATAGAGTCCCTCGGTGCTCATCATGTAGGACTTTGCAAAGTAATACCACCGTCAAATTGGGTTGGGCGTCGCAAAGGTTATGACAACATTGATGAATGTTTGGTGGAAAAACCTATATGTCAAAGCACATATGGTGGGCGTGGTATATATTTTCAGGTCTGTTTCATTAATTTTCCCAACAATCAGTGTAGGATATTTCACCCAGAAAAAGTCTCAAATTCAGTGACTTTAAAAATATTGCTTTATCAAATATATATTGCACCCCTAAGTACAGGGACTACGATCACCTTGAAAGAAAGTACTGGTCGTCGATAGGCACAAGTCGTCCACTGTATGGGGCTAATGTCAATGGAACTTTGATGGACATTGACCAGCATATCTGGAACGTTGCAAAACTCGACTCAGTACTAAGTCGGGTTTTCGAAGAAGAGGGTGTACAAATACCAGGTGTGAATACTCCATATTTGTATTATGGAATGTGGCGATCTACGTTTCCGTGGCATGTTGAAGATGTAGACTTGTACTCTATAAACTACCTGCATTACGGTTTTCCAAAGTGCTGGTACGTCATACCTCCGGCTTTTGCGCGTAAATTTGAATCCTTTGTTTCCGGTACGGATTTTTTCAAAGCTAACTGTCTTTAAGAATATTTTAGGTCGGAATTCTTGAAATGTCATTGTTTCTTAAGGCATAAATGCGTTTTAATTAGTCCTACAGTTCTTTCCCAGTCTGGAATCCCAACTAAGAAAGTAAGGCACACTCGATCTCATATATTCCTAGATTTTGCAACACGAAGGTGAATTTATGATAACTTTTCCTTACGCTTATCATTCCGGTTTCAATATGGGTTTAAACATTGCTGAATCAACAAATTTTGCACTTACTAGGTGGATAGAGTACGGAAAACACGCGAAAATATGTACCTGTTGGGATGACACAGTTAAAATATGTATGGATCCTTTTGTGCGAAGATTTCAACCCGAGTTGTATAATGATTGGAAAAATGGAAAAAACCTACCACCTCATCCTCTCGATGAATATTTGCCAAAGGAAACAAGTCATCATGTTGAGAGCATACTCACGTATCCAGGTTAGTTAACTGAAGATTATCTAGCCTTTAGACAGTGCCAAGGATAAATTGCGTATCGAGAACAATGAGGTTACGGCCAAAGACCCTTCTCTTTTTAAACCTTACTCTTCTGATTCCCCGCCCCCCAAAGTTGGCGATCTAAACTCCATTGATCTGCGGTATTCCTCAAAACGTAGGTTGTTCTGGTTGAATTTTAATATCTTGACTACTTTGCTTTTTGTATGCATTTACTAGCTGTCAATACAATAATGTAAGAGGGATCTAGTATTATTGGAAAGCCGATGTGTTTCTCCCTTATATATATATATATATATATATATATATATATATATATATATATATATATATATATATAATTAAAGGAGAGTTGAAAAGAATTTTTATGATGTAATCAAGGAATATTAGTCACCAAGGCAAGGGAAGATTAACAACCATCTCCCCTTAAGCACATGAATTAGGTTTCTAACGTCTGATTGCAGCAGCTTCAGCAAATTTTAGAAGACTGAAACCTCACCGCTTATTAAACGCTTTGGGCGATTGTACGGTATCTACCTAATGTCCTGTATGCAAGAGATGTTTATTAACTGCATTGTTCAAAGTACTTCTCTCTCTTGTTCAAAGGCTTTTTGAAACGTGTTCGCAAATCTAAGATATGTGCTCGTTTCTGTCCGGCCAATTTAGCTGGTTTGGCAGGTACACGTAATTTTGTAAACAGTTGATGGCAACGTCAATGGGGTGCTTGTCGACCCTTCATTAGGTTATTGAACATGTTTTATACAATATTAATAGTTTGGCTGCCGGGTACATCCTAGCTAATGCGGTGTTAAGTTTCCTGTTGATTATTTATTTTTATTTATTTATTTGAACACATAAATATTGGTACAAGGGAGCACCAAATATATATGCGCCACACAAAATTTTATTTGTGTATGGGCTGTGATACTGCCCGGGTGCCCAGACCGAAGCAGGTGGTTTTCTTAGGAGGCCACACCCCGAGCCTTTGACCTAAAGGTCTAACCCACAAGGCAGTGGAGCATCGTGAGGAGATGCAGTCCCATGGAAGCCGGTGACCAAAAATTGGTTCATAAGCCATTTGTTCCTTCAGGATACTGGAGCCCATGTGTAACATTGGTTTGGGATCCGGTTACAGCACCTGACATTCGCTTTTCGTCCTCTCATTTTCGTAGACAACACCCCCGCCACGAGAAGGCAGTGAGTAGGACTTCCCTGGCAGAGGCTGTATACGCGTGGCCGTGTGAGAGTATTTCGAGAGGGAGGGCGAACCCACCCCACTCTCGGCTAGCCAGAAACAGGTTGTGGTCTGTGCATAGTTGCATTAGACGTTCCATGTTATCTGTCCTGCCACCAACAAGTCCCCGTCGACCACCTAAACAACTCTAGTACAACAATATCTGTCGAACGCACTTTCTGGAGAAGAACAGATAACTGGTGGTAGAATTCATCCTTGATTGCATCCGGGCTGCATTCTGTCGGGGCATAGGCGGAGATGACGAAAAGACATCGTTTCTCACGCCGATTTCTTCTCACTTTGATGGAACTTTCTAATCTAACAGCACATAACCGACTGTTAATAGGGATCCAATCGATTAGTGCTGCCCCAGCTCTAGTGCTTAGTGCGACACCAACGCCAGCAAGACCAGACGAAGATGCCACAGGGTCCCCGGATGAACGCACATAAAACAAGCTTTTTGAAGCGACAGATGGAGAGCGAACTTGTAGTACTTCACCATAGTCTTGAATACGGGTCTCGGATAGACAACACACATCGATATTAAGACTTTCCAAAGACATAGCCAGCCCTATCTGTTGTCCGACCTGCATAAGTGTGCGAACGTTGAAGGCAGCCAGTTTGAATGGTGCACGTGGTTTCAGGAAAACTGCTTCAGTAATCGTATTCGGTGGTAACATACAATTTTCAACCAGGCAGTGACTCGAGAACGTTTAGATAAAGCTGAATTTTCACCATAGGCGAGCTGCTGTCTAAGTCGAAACGGATACATAAAGTGGGAATAAGAGAAAGTGAACAAATGACATGGTAAAATAGTAATAATAATAATAGTAGTAGTGCCAGTCATTTCATCGTAAATCGGAGCGAAAGGAATATTTTTCATAAGTAAATAGTTCATCATGTTTTAGTGCGTGGGCTGAGATACTTCCCGGGTGCCCAGACCGAAGCAGGTGGTTTTCTTAGGAGGCCACACCCCGAGCCTTTGACCTAAAGGTCTAACCCACAAGGCAGTGGAGCATCGTGAGGAGATGCAGTCCCATGGAAGCCGGTGACCAAAAATTGGTTCATACGCCATTTGTTCCTTCAGGATACTGGAGCCCATGTGTAACATTGGTTTGGGATCCGGTTACAGCACCTGACATTCGCTTTTCGTCCTCTCATTTTCGTAGACAACACCCCCGCCACGAGAAGGCAGTGAGTAGGACTTCCCTGGCAGAGGCTGTATACGCGTGGCCGTGTGAGAGTATTTCGAGAGGGAGGGCGAACCCACCCCATTCTCGGCCGTACCAGGGCATTTTGGGGGCGTCCCAGTAATAAGGCTTTTGTTTCTATATTATTAAGCGTTTTATTCGATTAGTTATAAATAAACTTCGCAGAGTTTTCCGAGAGCCCTAAATATAGTTGTTCCTTCATCTGAGTTTTCTGTAGAGATTTGTCGAAGTTCTTGCAAACCTTGATTTGTAGGTCGTGGATAAAGCTGATGGATTTTATCTAACATGCGATATATAAATCATTAACCACTTTATCGAAAGCCTTGGCCTTATTTTTCAGTCGTGTAGCAAGTAATTTCGTTCATTCAGTGTGCGATTTTGTTAATCATCAGAGGTTCTTAAGAGGATGTGAGAGTTTACATGATCGGAAAGATTTTACAAATAGCGTGAAAAACGGCGTTTACTCTTTACGTAACCACTTGTTTTCAGCCCTTTGAACCTTTGATTACTATAAATGTCGTAGAACGTTTTTTATATGAGGTACATTATTTTATTCAGTTTTAAGTTTATTTACACTCTTGATACACTATACTGATGTGTATTTGAAGTAACTTCCAACTAGAATCTTTCGTGTAGCAATTCAGACTCATTTTGCAATTATGATTTTTACATATCACAGATTGTAAGCGGCTGACGACAACCAAACGAAATAGAACGAACTCATGCTATTCTGCTCAAATCTTTGTTCATGCTCTCTTCAAGATGATAAAGGAAACTATGTGTACGAAATTTATCCAATTCTCTTTTACCACCACAGACTTCACTTACTGGTCTTGTATTTGTCTTGATAATTTCATCTTCATGTGCTTTTATGGAGCGGCAATTTAGGCCGATGTACATAAATACCAGGTTATTATGTCGCTTGAGACGGAGTGGTTGACTTGGATTAGTAGAGTGTACTAGGTTCCATTAGAATACTCCTTAATCCTTTTTATTTACGCTTCTTATAACTTTCTTGTTCTTCATAGTCACTCGTTTATTGTCAATTTCTTTGTCATATATTCGTTTGCTATTTACTTTTCTGAGATATTTAACTCTAATTTTAGAGTTCGAAACGGCCAAAATTCCTTTTCATATCGCTACTAATCCTCGCTTGTACCCTCTGTGGTGTGGAAATCCAGCTAATGAACAGATTGAACGAAATTTCAACATTTTCATTGGAAGTCATAAACCGTATTGTGCTGTTTGCTCATTTTTGTGGACTCCTCAGGTGAATAAATTTTAGCACTCTTTTATCGGTAAACCTTTATAAATTTGGGATCTATATAGAATCTGTACTCTTGGTAGTTGCCTAAGTGTTGGTAAAATAAGACTTTTTTATATAGGAGAGGTGAAGATGCAGTTGTTACATTTCACATCATCATAGAGGAAATTAATAAATAAAATAAAAAGCGTGGGATGTTAATTAATATCGAGGGTTATATAAATTTGAACATAAGAAATACAAGTTTTTAAATAAGGTTGAATAGTGGCTTGGATTGGAAACCAGGATACATGTTTCTTCCTATCTGAAAAGATGCGAACCATTACAAATTAATGGTAAAATTCATCCCAGTTGCACAGACAAGTAACTATCTGAACTTATTAATTCAGTGGATAAGGTATTGTACGTTTGAAATGAAAGGTACTAGGTTCGAGCCTCAGTACGAACATCAATACTGAAATGCATGTACATCTAGCTGATGACTTTCAAACACGACAAAATCCACTTTCTGAACCCTACTGCTAGCCACTACCCAACTTTACTTGAAAAGTTGTGACGTGATAGCAATATCAAGTTAATCCGCTCAGGATGCACATACAAAAAGAAACTGATCAAAATTCAGTTACTAACATCAATAACAGGAGGGTAATTTTGTTTTTAATTTTAAATAGCCGTTTCTAACGTAAAATACTTGAGGCCTTGTCGAACTATTGACGTGTATCAATATTTTGTCTTGATAGTTCTTAATGTGTTTACTTATTGTGACAGAGTAAATCTGTTAGGTTAATTCAAGATAATAATCTCTCATATTCTACTGATCCGTCTATACTTTTTGAGTACTCACGTAATAATCTGATCCACCAACATGTGTGTCTCAGCTATCCAATATCTTTCTCCAACTATATCTAGGTAGAAATGTTTTTGTACCATGGCTATCGTGTTACGGTTAACAATGCTATTAAGTTGTTCTAGATGTATGAAAACTATCAAATCGAATTTCAGACTTGACCTATTACTTTACTCTTAGTTTAGAAAAATGCAGTTTACTTATCACGTTTGTTATCTGTCATTTTAGCATGTTTCTAAGCTTTTATCTAGTGGACATAGAGAAGACAAACTACCTTTATACTCAGAACCACACATTCCTGAAGTTGCATATCACAGCTATAATTCTTCTGTACAGTTTCCTCCGACAGTTAAAAGCCGTATACTCAGGTGTTTTCGTTGTTGCTTAACTGTACATGCTAGATGTTATGGTGTACAAGATGAACTTGGATTTAAATTTGAGTCTTCATCAGAACAAAAACATAATCTAAACTTTAAAAAATCTTGGTATTGCGATGCTTGTATGGCGAGTTCAAAACCCGTAAGTTAATAATGTCATTTAATGTCTTATAAATTACGTATTGCAATCGTTGTATCGTTGACATGAATGAAATGATTATAAACTGTGACAAAAATGTGATTCCGTTAGTAATAATATGTACTATTTTTGTTATAACATAGTGTACCATTCAACAGTGCTGTACTATTTCATTAAACCATCTTTGCAAGAATAGTACCTCCGGATACTTCAAGTCTTATTTTCAAGTGACTAATCAATATTTATTCTTATTCCAGGATGCGATTCTACAGACTTAAAGTAAAATTCATCCTAAAGTGTTAATATCAACTTTTAACCCAGACATCATACAATTTACCTCGTTTAGTGCGGTATTAAACTTTGATATGCCAGCGTTAAAAGGACCAGTAGCAACTAAGTATGCTTATATTTTTCTCTTTTAAGGATACTTAGCGGTTACGAGACATGAGTAGTACAGATGGTTTTCATGTTTTCAGTTGGAGCATGCTTCAGTGAATAGTGTATGATCTAAAATAAGGTTAAATAAAGTGTTGCTAGGCCATTCGATTATATTTTCAATCGTGCCCGACCGTAGCTGCTACCTTGACGTGGTGGTCGGGCTTGCCTATCGTGATGACCCAACCGAGCTATATTGGCTGGAACACATGTTCCTGCAGGTTCTGCCATGCCAGGCAGGTCGATTGGAGAACGGTAAGACTAAAAGCAGCAACTCAAGGTCTGAGGGCGAAGTCGTACTGCTGACTGTACAGAGGTGTGACAGCAGTAAGGTGTTTCCCTTGGACAACCAGCATCTGCAGCGATGCTACCTTCTCACAAGGAAGGAAGGGGTTAGAAAAGGTTGACCCTAAAAATGTCACACCTCATCTTACCCCACGGATTTCCGTCTCCGGTGGTAAGGCCGTTTGAAGAGGAGCTAACACATTAAAAACCTCCCACAAAAAGGCCGTGCGCGACCGGCCTCAAGCAGTTGTCTCTTGGGCTCTGCGGTCACGCTACCAGGTCTTTAAGACTAACACTAATCCGACTTCTTTTTAAGGTTCCTCAAGAAATACCCTTCCACGGTGTGGGCAGCCGGGAAGTGACACCAGTTCTCATACCCGTAACAGCACACGAGACCAAGTTGGTCACTTTCAAATCCTTCCTACACCTCTTAATGACTCTCTTATCTCCACGACTAACCCTTCTTACGTCCCTTTATCACCTCGCCCCGCTAGTGCGAACGGTTCGAGTACGCGGAATGTTATTCCTGGTCTCCTGAAACCACGCTCCAAACTACACGTAGGAGCTTTCAACGTCCGAGCACTGTGCCAAATGGGACAACAGGCTTCCTTAGCTAGGACTTTAGAATCTCGCTCCATCGATATGTGCTGCGTCTCCGAAACGCGCACACAGGATCCTAGTAGTGTCATTCATTTGACCGCACCATGTCAAAGTAACGAACCAACTGGATTTACGCTTCGTGTATCTGGAAGCCCTGACGCTGCTTCCCGGGGCCTCGCTGGCGTAGGTATAGCATTGATTCCTAGGGCAGAACTAGCTCTCTTAGACTGGATCCCAGTAGACAGTCGTTTGTGTGCTGTCCGACTAAACGGAACAGTAAGGACTCGAAAAGATAGGGACACTCGTCGTTGCCTCTTCGTCGTCTCTGCCTACTCTCCCACTGACTGCAGCTCAGATGATGTAAAAGATGAGTTTTACAGAAAGCTTTCCGACCTTCTCCGAAAAGCTAGGCGTTCAGATGTAGTAATAGTGGCTGGTGACTTTAATGCTCAAGTAGGTAAACTAAGCGAAAAGGAAAGACACCTGGGTGGATCTTATGGTGTCGCGGCTCAAAGAACAGATAATGGCGACCGTCTGTTGCAGCTATGCTCAGATAACCGCCTGTTTCTTGCAAACATCAACTTTAAGCATAAGGAAAAACATCTTTTAACATGGCGACCCCCTAATTCGTCCTAACGCTGGACCCAAATAGATCACATCGCTATCAGCCACCGATGGAGGGGCTCGATAGAAGACTGTCGCTCATTCTGGAGCACATGCTTAGACTCAGATCATGCTCTAGTGCGAGCGCGTATTTGTCTACGTCTTGCTGGACGTAGGAAACATGCTGCAAGAAAACCCCTTAGGGTCCTACTAAATGATAGTCAAGCTAAGAGTATATTTCAGGGACATCTAGAAAAACAGTTAGACAGCCATGTAGGTGACGCCCATCCCGAGGCAGCGTGGAATGAAATCCGAAAAGCTGTAGAAACAGCAGTGATGTCTGCAAGTACGGTAAACCATAAGGTTAGGGAGGAACACTGGATCTCAGCAGCATCTACCGCACTGATAGATGCTCAAAAACTCATTCCATCTGGCTCTGAACATAACGAAGAGCGGAGTCAGCTTAAGCGTAAGCTGACTAGAAGCCTACGCAAAGATCGTGAACAGTGGTGGGTAGCAAAAGCAAAAGAGATGGAAAAAGCAGCGGCAATAGGTAACAGCAGGCAACTGTTCAGACCTGTTAAGGAAACCGGGATTAGGAACCCAACTGTTAGCGAAACAATCGCAGAAAAAGATGGACATATTATTCATTCTCAATCCAGGAGATTGGACCGATGGCAGAACGCTTTAGGGATCAGTTCAACTGGCCTTCAGCCACACTTCGGTTTCCCACGATCTCCAGTCGACCTGAATGGCAAGTTGATGTAAGTCCTCCGACTCTTTACGAAGTTGAAAAAGCTATAGGAAATCTGAAGCGTGGGAGAGCAGCAGGCCCTGACAGGTTTACTCCTGAGATTTTTGAGGATGGTGGTCCAATATTAGCAGCGAGATTGACTGAGGTCTTAGGTAGAATCTGGGAACTGGACGTAATCCCATCTGACTGGTCTCAATCATTGATTGTACCAGTCTATAAAAAAGGACAAAAGTCTTCTCGTGACAATCACAGAGGAATTAGTTTAACTAATATAGTGTCTAAAATATTAGCTTCAATAATACTTCGACGTCAAACAAAGCTCGTGAAGAGCAGACTAGAGAAAACCAGGCTGGTTTTCGACTTTGACGTGGTTGTATTGATCAACTATTCACATTACGTCAGGTCCTAGAACATAGACACACATTCAGACGCCCCACAATGGTAGTATTTCTCGACCTTAAGGCGGCATTTGACTCTGTTGATCGTGAGGTTCTATGGCAGTGTTTGTCACTGAAGGGAGTACCAAAGAAGTACATTAACCTTATAAAGGCTCTCTACTCGAACACAACTGGTCGAGTGAGAGCTTATGGCAAACTGTCTTCAGAACTGATTACCTCAAGTGGTGTTCGTCAGGGCTGTCCACTCTCTCCATTCTTGTTTAACTTTGTCGTTGACGTCCTTTTAGAGATGACACTTTCCTCATCTAAATTTCTAGGAGTTGAACTTCTACCGGGAGATTCACTTGTTGACTTAGAATATGCCGATGACATAGTTCTATTTAGTGAAGACGCTGACAGAATGCAGAGTCTGCAGACCACTCTAAGCAACAATGCAAGGATGTTCGGCATGCGATTTTCTCCCTCGAAATGCAAAATGTTGCTTCAGGATTGGGTTGCGTTGACACCCGAACTAGTGATAGGGAGTGAAGTAGTTGAGCGTGTCGACCGCTTCACTTATCTCGGAAGTCTCATCAGCTCTTGTGGTTTGGTGTGTGACGAAATCTCAGCACGGATACAAAAGGCTCGACTAGCTTTTGCCAACTTGCGTCATTTGTGGCGTAGGCGAGATATCCGTCTATCAACCAAAGGACGGGTTTACTGAGCAGAAGTTCGTTCCGTCCTACTTTATGGCAGTGAAACATGGCCGGTAAGAGTAAAGGATATTCGTAGGTTACCAGTATTTGACCATAGGTGTCTTCGAAACATCGCTCGTATATCCTGGGACCACCGAGTAAGTAATGCAGTTGTTATGAAACGGGTACTAGATAAGGATGGCAAATCAATTGATGAAGTAGTGAAACTTAATCAGTTGAGATAGCTGGGACATGTGTTACGCATGCCCGACCACCAACTGCCCCGACGTGCTATGTTTTATGGTGTAGGAGTAGGTTGGAAAAAAGCTAGGGGCGGCCAGACCAAAACATGGCACAAATCCATGAAGTCACTGACAAGTGGACTGAGTCATGTTGGTAGGTGTAGACTACCTGGTTGGCGACCGCGAGACGATAGCAACCGATGGTTAGAGACCTTGAATGACATGGCTCAAAATCGTTTGCAATGACGCAGGTGCATCCACTATTTGTGTTCTCTCAAACTCTAATCTTCTGAATTCTTCATTTCCTTTATTTTCTTTCCAAATCTATTCCACTGGATTATACTCCTTAAATAACATCATCAAACCTTAATGTCCCCTATCTCTACTTATACTTTCAGTACCTCTACCACTATGGGATTTGAATCAATAACTGAATCTCTGTGCTAATGTGGTATGGCAACTCGAACTGATGTACGTACGTACGAAGTTCCACGTTGTTACTGACTGACTGACTGATTTTCAATCGTGCGTAAGCTGTAATATGAACTATCCCCCCTTTTATATCCGTTCAATAGCTTGATAAAATAATGTCCAACAAGATGTTCAGTATGATCAACTTGCTGAGTGTATATGTCATGAAGAGGGGTATTTCATATTCAACTCCATGGGAATATTTCTGACTAAAACATTGACGGAATCGGGTCCATATCACACATAATCGACACCAGTTATATCAAAATTGTAAATATACGCCTAACTAATTAGTAGTGCTGACTAACTTTAAGTCTAGTTCTACGGCTTTCTGATCTCTCCCTCTAAATGCAAGTTGTTGCTTCAGGACTGGTCTGCGTCAACACCTGAACTAAGGATAGGGGGTGAAGTAGTCGAACGCGTCGACAACTTCACTTATCTTGGAAGTCTGATCAGCCCTAATGGGTTGGTGTCTGACGAAATCTCAGCACGGATTCGAAAAGCTCGTTTGGCCTTTGCCAACTTACGTCACCTATGGCGA